GAATGCAATATTCCTGCTTCTTGGCAGAATGGGGTTGGACTGGATGGCCCAGGAGGCCTCTTCCAACTCTTTCATTCTAGGATTCTATGTGGGGATGTTTCCGACCCTCAAAAAGGCTTCCAATGTAGAGAAAGTCAGTGTTGAATTGGGAGTGCAATTCTTCATCAAATTCTCACTTAAATTATTTTTTTTCTTGCTTTAAAGAAGTCTTTTAAAATTGTTTCCGAAACATATTTGCAATTTGGGACTTTTCTGCACAAAATGCACACTCTCTTGTTCCACACAGGAAACAGCACTTCCTACTATTTATTTATTTATTATTCGAACTTATATGCCGCCACTCCCCTGGGGCTCGGAGCGGCTTACAAGAACAGGCTAAAATCTAACACAATTTAAAAACAATTTAAAACAATTTAAAAACAGCAATATCAAAGATCAAAGGCCTGTCGAAACAGATATGTCTTACATGCCCTGCGGAAAGCTGGTAAGTCCTGCAAGGCACGGACTTCAGGTGGCAGAATATTCCAGAGTGATGGTGCCACTGCTGTGAAGGCTCTGCGTCTGGTTGCTGGTAGACGCAAGGTCTTGACACTGGGGACTTCCAATAGATCTTGGTCCTCAGAACGGAGGGATCTCTGGGGTTGGGAGGGGGTGAGACGATCCCTCAGGTACATCGTCCCCAGACCATGCAAGGCCTTAAAAGTGAGTACCATCACTTTGAAAGTGATCCGGTGCTCAATGGGTAACCAATGCAGCTGCCGTAAGATTGGGGTTATGTGGCATCTCATCAGAATTCCCGCAAGAAGCCAAGCAGCTGCGTTTTGTACCAACTTGAGTTTCCGGATCACCGACAGAGGAAGGCCAATGTAGAGGGCGTACAGTAGTCCAGTCTGGAGATGATCGTCGCCTGGATCACCGCAGCTAGGTTGTCCCTGGACAGGGAGGGGGCCAGCCGTCTAGCCTGCCGCAGGTGAAAAAAGGCGGTTCTGCTCACGGCGGAGACCTGGGCCTCCATCCTCAGCAGAGGGTCCAAAAGGACTCCCAGACTCTTGACCAACGAGGACGGGCGTAGCGCCTCCTCGCCATCCAGGGTAGGCAGATGGATGTCCCCACTGCCCAGTCGACCCAGCCATAGGATCTCCGTCTTTGCTGGATTCACCCTCAACCTGCTGGCATGCAGCCATCCAGTCACGGCCTTGAGGCACTGATGGAAATAATTGGGTACAGAGTCTGATCGACCTTCCATCTTCAGCACCAGCTGAGTGTCATCAGTGTACTGTGAATCATCACGAAGTTTATGATCATCCAGAGAGGCCCTGCTCTCGATCCCACTGCCGTCGCAAGCGCGATTGGTGGAGATGAGAGACAGGGCCTTCTCAACAGTGGCTCCCCGTCTGTGGAATTTCTTACCCAAAGACATCAAATTGGCCACCTCCCTCCTGTCCTTTAGAAGGAAACTCAAGACTTGGCTGTGGGACTTTGCATTTGACTGTGGAATAGCAGCTTGTTTGAAGAAGACATAAGCAATTTCGAAGTGACAATGAATTGACCCGGACCCGGATTTTAATTGCATGTTTTAACAACTGTTTATTTAATGTTTTGTTTTAATGAATTTGTTGATTGTTCTTATAATTATGATGGCACCGAATGGTGTTTGCCGTGAGGCTGCACTGAGTCCCCCCTCGGGGATGTTTTTAAGATGTTTTAGACTCAAACATTTATTGGACTTCACCATTGACTAACTAGTTGAGACTGGTGGGAGTTGTAATATGGGATGGGTAGATTGTAGGGCTGTCCAAACACGGAAAAATTTGTTTCTAAACTCGATTCGTTTTTAGGGGTTTTTTTGCGTTTCG